GGTAGAGGTCATTCTGCGTGATGATAGATCTGCATTCGCGTAACAGACTACAGGTGCCTACGGGGCTTCAGTTTGACAAGTCACAAATGCAATAACACTTGAATGAACTTCTTGCTTGTGCTGTTTATCTGTCTCCCCCTTTCCAACTCCCACTCCACCTCTAATTTGTGTTAAGGGGGGAAAGAAAAAAAAAACTGCTCAATGGTGTAGGAGGAGTGGAGATAAGCTCGAAGCAGTTAAGTATAATTAGCGAAAGTAATAGCTGGCAAATGGCAACAAGGCTAGGTTTTTATCTCCTGGAAAGATAGAGTTATCGTAATAAGCTGTAATGGCTGGCAGGAATGCTAGTACTCTGTGCAGGCTTCCATTCAGGCTCGTAGACTTAACAAGGAACAATTTCCCTTGAATTTACTGCTTTGCTCAAACATTTCCCTATGTTTATACCCTGATACTGTAAGTCAATACACGTGTTCACTCCACTTTCATATAGATTGAGGGCACACACTGCCGTATTGCCATGTAAGCACTTCTGGCTGCCAGCATCGGCCATGTTCTTCTGTTCCCTCAGAGCGGTTACTCATGTCCCATTTCCAGAGAACACGGAGAAGTGAGCAGCAGACCACACTCATATGCCATGTACAAGCGATCCACTCTACATTTTAAGTAAAGTGGCGGTGACCGAGGCTGGTGAAGGACCTCTCGCAGAAAATGAAGGGAAAAGGGGGGGAAAGATTGAGGCGTCAGATCGAAATAAGATTGGGAAGCGTGCATTCCAGGAAAGGAGGAATTCAACTGAAGGCCTGCCACGGCTGCCAGTGCGCATGCGGAGCTGCTCAAAAAGGAGGAAACGATACGGTCGCAGCTGCACGAGGAGTCAGGCATTCCATTTCTTCATATTCTGAAACGTGATCATTCGGTCTCTTGAGAGAATTGCTGAAATAGTCATAAAAAAATATTCTACTTCCCAATCTTCAAGACGGTCCACAGTAAAGTCTGCGCATTTTGCCACTTACCATGCTAATTCTGCTCGCATGTGGCCATAATTCTTTAAGTTATCAGCTGTTCAATTTGAAACATATTTGCTGTCACATTCAGTTAGGAAAATTTCTATCATCCTGGAAATTAAAACACAAAGCATCTCTGATCCAGGCAGGGTGAACAGATATAAGGAGTATAATTGAACAAAACGCGCAACCTGTCGAAATCTGTGCAGAAAATGAGAGAAAATGAAAATTCTATTAGTGTCTAATGTTCCCTCCTCCCCCTCGCCGCACGCTCTTCATCTCTCCGGCAAAGTATTCAAATGCAAGCCCTGCCTTACCTCCCCGTGTCTCTTTTTCTCTAATTATCCATGAGGTCAGTAAGCAAAATGGGGAAGAAGCCAGGAGATCAATACAAATTATCCCTGAGCAAACCAGTGCTGACAGTTTGAATTGCAGCATATGTTTACCCAAAATCAGGCAATTTATCTTAATATCAGGCGAGTAATGCAGCAGGGGTGAGAGGTCACACAATCTCTCCACCTCATAATTACCCGCCTCTAAAACAGGAAAGTGGTATTGATTGGCCGCGGGCCGGGAAGCGGGCGTGACTGGAACGTGCCAGTGACCCCCCCCCCACCCCTCCCGTTCCCCGACACCCACCCTCCCCTATCATACCTCCCATAGTTCTCTCTGTCCCTCCGCCTCCCTTCGGCTAGACTCCCCACCCAGCGCGGGATTTATGGGATGTGTGTGGATGGTTTCGTGTTTCCTCGAAGCGACTCAGAAGTCCTACAGAAGGAGTAAGAATGGGTGAAGGGGGCGAGGGAGTGCAATACCGCTTTCACTGTTTATCATTGGAAGGTCAAGGAGGACTAAACAAATTTTGGCTCTGGATCATCGCACCACTTTATTGCAGCGCAAAGTTTATGAGTGAGAAGGAGCACATGACGAGGTGTCGAGGATTGAAGTAGACCTGGGAGGTGAAGAGAGCAAATGTGTGGAAACGTGCACGTCAATGCAGGAAAACGTAAGGAGAGTGGTCCCAATGATTCTTGTAAAAGCTCAGCGGATGAAAGGAAATCTTTGCACGGAGGATGAAAAAAAAAAAAAAATCTGCGGAGCGGTGCAGCGACTGCACATTTATTGTCCAGATTGAATATAAGTGCTCAGTATATATCATCAGCAGCTCTTACAGGATTATTGACATTGTCTGTGTCTGTCTGCGCCGGTGTTACACGCTCTGACTACAAAACTGTCAACTCATCAACTGACAGCACCGTTTAGCGCTAATGCAAGTCTCCATCAGCTGTCAAAAGCATTTGCATGAAATCAATAGCAGATGGCGGTCTGTGTCACCAATTTCATTACGCCAGGGTTGTTACAAAGATCATCTCCATGATAGATGAGACGGCGACATGCCGGCATGGGGAGATCATGCCTTGTGCTGGAAAACTGGGACTGCACTGAGTCCTGACACCAACTGAGACAAGTTTTAATATATCTTTTCTTTTTTTTGTGGTCTGTCACCAGAGTGTGGTGCCAACTGAGTCCTCCAAATCACATTCATTGCAGTTCTTAGGCCGGCATTTACAGTAGGGCATCATTATCATTGGAAAGACATGTCAAAAAGTCCACCTCTCCTGTTCTCCGTCTCGTTCTGTACTGTACATCTGTCCGGCCGAGTTCCCAGCATGCCTGGCGGGTTCTGCAGGCCCCAGCTGAGGCAGAGGACAGGAGAGCGTGATGTATCACCCTGAGAGAGCCCACTGACAGCCTCTGATGATGGATGGCCTGATTATGGAGTGCTTTTTACACATACACAATTTACATCACACTGAGCAGCGGGGTCTGGCAGGGCCGTCGAGCACATACGCGTTTTCCACGCGGGGCACGGGCGTTCACACGCTTGCATGTGTGCACACGCACGCCTGCACGGGTCTGCCACAGTGCATAAGATAAGGAGGGGAGTGGAAATAACAAAAGAAAAGGGGGCAAATTCCTCACTGCAGCCTTGTCATGTAAGATCAATATGGCAGATCAATCCTTTATTAAGGAGAAGATGGCTTCTCCCCCTACATTCCGAAGCAGACCTTTGTCGTTTTGCGACACATGATGACATGTCAAATCAGATTTCCAGCAGTGTATGTAGCTGTGGCGAGGGGTTTATTCAGGTGTGTCTGCACTGCCGAGTTGAATACCACTGTATTTGTAAGCTGGGTCTGTGCTATCGATTAGAGCCCCCACATTGTCCATGCTTGAGTACATAATTGCTGTTTGACCATGCTTGAGCTGGCAATTACTGTATTCAGCGTTTAGCACAACTGCTGCATGTGTTCAATTGCAAGAACAAGTTTGAATGAATAGGAAATTAGTGTCCATGTCAAACGTTGGCATGGAAATAAAATCCTGAGTCCCATTTCAACCCATAAACCGAAATCTAAGCTCTTGACCCGACATTACTGAGGGGTAGAGCATCCAAATTGGTTCTGTGTTTTATAGAGACAGCTAAGTAGAACAAATTTTTAGCCCTTGATAACAGAACCACACTTTATAACAAAAGGGGTAAAAAAAAAAAGTAAGCAAATTTTTACTCAGCTTACATATTTTTAATGGCACATAAGCACCAATGTTGTCAAGTCTTAAATGGCCCACTATAGTATGTTTAGAATCAGTGCTAAACATTTAAATAATTCACCAGTAATTGTGCAGTGGTATCTAAAAGAAATAAGGCTGTGGATAGCGGTGGGACTAACCCAACTACATGGTCCTTAGGTCATGACTCTTTGTGCTTGAGATCACTTGTTTAAGACCTTTTCCTCCAAAAGCACCAACCTAATAAAGAGCAGCAGGCTTTGTAGCGACCAAAACCCAATCCTAATCCGGTAAAATGTAATTTCTGGTTTAAGATTGCCGGTCAAAGTACTGGTGATGGTCATGGTTAAGTACAAGTGAAGTTACTCAAATGAATAGAAGTCGGTACCATGTCCCAATGAGAGTAGCTCCACAAACTTGAGTGTGTGTGTGTTTCTGTGAAATTGTTGGGGGTTGCGTTCACTTGCTTATACATTCAGCAGGTTCAGCGAGCTGTGTGGTGTTAATGCCGAAATTACATGCTGAGTAATGAGTGATGGGCCAAATTACAGGCTGAACAATGAATAGAGGCAGGCAGCTCTTATTAGTCTCCATAGAAAGCCATTGATTTATGAAGCGCCTTGCTTGGCGGAGTTACTCTCCTGAAAATGATATCTACATTGAGAAGTGATGTTCTCTATTAAGCCATTCTTTCCCCTTTTACACTGCTGTCCTCCTTCCTAACCCTCCTCCCCTCGGCCTCTCTCTGAGTGTACACATGATTGTTTAGAATCAGGCGGAGCTGTAAGGAAACCTTCAATTACCCATTAGGACTGTCAGACATAAAACGCCCGGCTCTCACCAAAGTCTGGGTTATGATTCATTTACTTTGTGCCTCTGATTCATCGCCCAATATGCCTCATGCCCCAGATTACTGTTTGAGGGGTGGGAGAGATTAATGGCTCCATGGGATCTGTCACCGTTTTTCAAGGGCCCAGTGTTGCAGTACAGTTGGTGCAGAAGGGTGAAATGACAGCAACTTACACTAGATCAATGTGTGGACAGTCTTTCACAGATTATTAAAGCTCTGTTAGATTAAAAGAGCCCCGCTACGTAGTTTACTGTAGTCAATATTCCCAAGCAGATAAAAAGGGGGAGGGTCCCTCGAAAGGATTCTTAGGCCGATGTAGGTCATCATGGCTGCTAATGAAATAACACTTGGTGACACAAGTGTCAAAAGGAAACCCCCACCAGAGCTGACGATGTTTCATAAAACATTGTCTCACCCTTGAGTTTTTTTTTTTTTTTTTTTTTTTTTAATTAGGCATTCTGAAATTATTTCTGTACTGTAAACCATCACAAATTTTTCAATTAGTTCCCTCATATCTCTGGCAAAATTAGCCCTCAAATGGGTCTAATCTTTATCTTCCCTTTCCTCTCTTCTAGCCCTCAATGAGCCCACCATCGACTACGGTTTCCAGAGGCTGCAGAAGGTCATCCCCAGACACCCTGGCGATCCTGAGAGATTACCAAAGGTCAGTACATTGTCCTTCCCGAGCAGAGAAACATAGGGTGGTAACGACACAGAGCTCTTCAGGTTCTGAAGGAACAGTTTATATCTTAACCATAGCAGATAACTCTCATGACATCGTTATTTAATATAAATCCAGATTAAGTGTGTTGGTGCTAATCGGCTAGTCCGAGAGGGGCCATCGTCCGTTGTGTATTGGTGACTGTCCTTGGAAGCTCGTTGGGGGACTGGTGCGCCAGCGGTCATTGGGCAAAAGGCAGGGTACACTCTTTACAAGCCACCAGTTCATCACAAGGCAAAAAGAGACAAACTATAGGCAAAGTGAATGTGCGTGGAGCAGTGTGGGAGGAAGGATCAGTAGTCTGGACATCACCCACACATGTAAGGGGATGAACATGCAAACTGGATGAAAAAAGGCCTCGTCCAATACAGAGTATAGATCCTGTACAGTAAAATCATTTTATTGCTGTCCAATTTTCCATATTGATATTGCACACACTAATGCAATGCAGGTCAATAAAATAGCATTTACTTAAGCAGCGGCAATGTTTTTGGGACTGAGGTTGTGTTAAGACCCTACAAGTAAACTTTATTCTTGGCCACTAGCTTCAATCTCCAGGGTCAACTAATCTGGATTTACACAAAATGAAGACACCAAAAGAATTATCCCCTTGAAGTAAGATATTTACTGCCTATAATCTTTTAACAGAACCTCCCTTCAAAAATCCTGAACCATCCATTTAATATCTTGCTAATACTCTGTGACAAATAAACTAAACAACATTTCCATCAACGCAGAGCACTGCGACCCAGAGCGCTAACAGCTTTTACTCCACATATGTGGCTCACCCTCCAACCAGCGTGGTAATGGTATTGGCTTTTTTTTGTGTGTGTGTGTGTCTGTGTGTGTGTGGGGAGAGAGGCGTAAACTCTCTGTGTGGTAAAATAGCTCAATCAGGCGTTTTCCTCTCCAGTAGTCTGTGGAGATGGTAATCTGGTCAGAAACGACGCCTGCACCCTCATTACCCCACTCATGTTTTCCTTTCATTTTCTGCGGCTCGATTTGGTTTAATCTTTTGTTTACAGAACCCTGTGCCGTAAACCTTTCTAGTCTTGCTGCAGCTAATAGACAAAGACTGCATGTTATTATGCTCTGGCTTTTATAATGCTTTGTTTTTTATCTTTAAGTTGAAAGTCACATCAGTTTGGCATGACACATCAATAGGCCAAACTGAAAGAAAGAACTGAGAATTAGCATTAAAACTGAGGTGTTCACATGTCTGTTTTTTTTCATAAATGCTCTCCTGCACAGTCCTTTTGATTCCTTTATTCTTATTTGATTCCTTTGATTCTTTCACTCTTAGTTTCCCACTGATAGAACCTGTGTTTTCTCTAATTGCCACCCCACTAGTAACCATTTTGATGACCAACGCTCCAAATGTGTCAAAAGTAATAATATGACTGATTAGTCAATTCAGGACCCCTCGGCACGCTGTAAAGCGGGGACCACCTCGGAGTTTTAATAATACTGCAGAACCTTTAAAGACCGTATCTATCATATCCCAGCAAGCAACACAACAAAATTATTAATGTCCAACAGACAATTTAATAAAGAACAGAGTGTGATGTTTGACCAAGGCAACCTGGAGAAATGGAACTTCACAGCTAGTCTTTGGCTCAGTATATGAAGTGTTTCAATTAGACCTGGTCCCTGTGGAGACAGGAAGCTGCACCTCGACATGAAATGTTGCTCTAATTTCAGGTGTAAACGTTGACCAAAAGGTGAAGTTCACTTACCTTTCATATCTACAACTATGTCTCCGCTGGCAAGACTGTTTGAGTTTTACAGGGTTTTCAAAAGTTTTCACCCTCTGTTAAAATTAAAGCAGGATAAATAATAATCAAAATATTTTTACACATATTATGTTAAGTATATCTGCACTAAAATCACTTCGAGTAAAAAAAATAAAAAAATAAAAAAATGTTGCAATAACCCGGCTGCATAAGTCGGATTATAAGTATAAACCAATACCTTCTGAAAACTGAATCAGTTTCAGTCTGAAAATTGATACATTAAGTCATTAAGTCTTTAATTCTTCTCTTACAAAACTATTGTTTTATTAATTGGACAGTATGCTTGGACTTCTGGTAATGTTGACAAATTAATTCCCACTTCATTTTGATGTTTTATGATAAAGCTGACTAGTATCTGGTATATTTCCTTCCACTTTGAAAAACGAAAATATGCAGTGCCAACTGAAGCCACCATGTTTCAGTGTGTTGGTTATGTTGTTCATTTGGTGGTGGGTGTTGTCTTTGAGTCAAACTTATCCTTTAGAATTGTGGCCCAAAGTTCAACTTTGGTTTCATCTGACCACTGCATTGAAGATTATTATTATTATTATTATTATTATTATTATTATTGTCATAGAACACAAAATGCTTGGAATAAGTTCCTGCAGTTTCCTTATTTTAATTATTGATGACTGTCTTCCATTTGCCCTTGTGCATAATACATTTTTTGTGCTTTTTTAATGATGGATAATTTTGTGATACGAAATCCTTAACTTCTCAGTGAACCGAAAGATGCAAATGGAAGTGCAATAAAAATCCTTCTAGGGTGGCTGAACTTCAGATTCACTTTAATTAGTATAAGATGTACAAAAAATAAAATTCTTAAATTAAATCAAAAGGCCTTAGGTTAAGGTTGTGAACACCTAAGCAAGAGGGTTATTGCACTTTTTTATTATTATTATTTTAATTTGAAGACAGATATCTTGGCTTTTTACTTCAATTCTATGTGGTGAAAGTTTGTTGTGGTTGCATATTGTTTTATCATCAAAACTTTTGCACATTTTAACAGAGCCGTGTTCCCTTTCGAGAGCCACTGTATATAAACAAAGTCCACATCTTTTCTGCAACCAGAGACACAATGTTACATGGTAACATGGCTTTATTACAGAGAAACCTTGAATACAAAGCATGGCTGGTTGTGGGACAGATTTTGACACTGAGACCGAGATTAGTTTCCTGGGTGAGCGTATACTTAATATAGCACGGTCTCCCGGCCTTTGCATGAAACAATCAGAGAGTGAGATGAAACCCTGCACTCCCAATAAACAACATAAATATTTGATTTGCTCTCTAATGGACCCAAATATGGGGTTCAGGGGGCATGTAAATGATCCCACGAAGTGATTCGTCATTGTTAAGCTTGCCATCTCAGGGTCAGCTCTCGGGGTCAAAAGCACATTCCCAATAAAACAAGCCTGCGGCGGGCCGAGGCTGCCATGCACATTCGGAATGAGAGCAGAAACAGAATATAGAGAACAGCCATTACAGGGTGCAGGTGAGGCAGGGAGACTCTATAAAAAGAAGATAAAGCTGGAGGACGGCACGGTGTGCATTAGCAGAAAGGCAAATCGACACCAAGCCCACTCACCACCTCTATCTGAGCCCCCCCACCCCCCACATCTCCTCCGTTCCCTCCCTCCCATGACTTCACCCTCCAGTTGATAATATTACTGCGCTATTGATTTCCACCAGCCTTCTCCCTGGGACCAGTAAGACACGTGGTAATTGTAAGGAGACAGAAAGCCAATATGGGAGTGCTCATGGATAGCAAGGGATGCACGCTAATATTGTTGCTACACAGAGAAAAAAAGGGGGGGAAGCTGCCTCTGATTGAAGTTTACCTCGTAATTCTAAGACAACATCGCAGATGACAGCCTGACCCTGTGGGAGGAGAGGAGATATAAAAATTCAATGCAAAGTCCAGGGTGAATATGAAAGTAATAAGTGTGAGCAGTCAAGTGATGAGAAAGGAGATTGGTTTGCGGGCATGGCGTTAAGTGAAGAGAGACTTTAGAATTCACCCTCCTTTTTAAGATCTTGTTATAAAACAATTTTCTATTCATAATATAAAAAAGACAATTTATAATACCATTTTGTGCCCTCTGGCAGTAATGGACAAATAGACTGGATATCACATTATATCACACTCAATTTCTCTCCTCTGCAACAAATTAGATTCATTATAAAATTAAAAGTGGAAACTCAATATTGTTTTATTATTAAGCTGATTGCTTTGGATTCTTTTTGTTCCCCCCACCTCCCCAAAATGAGCATAAGCCCATTCTTTTCCAATTCTTTGTGTAATCCACAAGGAGAAAATATTACAAATGTGTTCATGTCAAGCAATTACCCATGTATTTAAATGAATCTCTCTTCCTGTGCTCTTTGAAGTACCTTCATCTAATGGCCCTATGCTTCTAAATGCATTCATTACCTCAGGCTAGAGCTAACAGAGTAATTGCCTTACAGTTTTATAATGGCATTAGCACTCCAAGCTACATAACCTAGGCCCTCTTTTATTAACTGTGATAATATAAATACAACATCCATGTTAATCTAGTGCTTGAAGACTCCTTATTGTTAGATTTTTTTATTTTTTTTATTTTTTTTACAAGACGTCATTTTGGATCTCTTCCCCTCAATTTTATGCCTCGGCAATAACATGAACCGGCTTTTAAATCTTAGGTGATCAGTCATCGGAGCGTTTGTTAGCAGAGCACGAGACCTTTTATGCAGAACAGTCCCAAACAATAGCCGAAATCAGTCACGCATTTGTCACAGAACAGCAGAAATCATTCGAAGCCGTTAATTGTTTCAATTTAACATGGTGTGTTCAGATATGTCTCCATGACAAGAAAGCCAATTACACTTATGCCGGAGCAGCATTTGAGATTTACATGGAAATGCCCTCGGAACGCTATTCCGTGCTAATCGTATTCACAGCATGAGCTGATGCGCATGAAGGCGTCTCGTCAGAAGAAAACAAACTTCCTTCCTTGATTGGGTGCAGCACTTCTCATCATCCGCCGATATGACTAGGTTGCCACTTAAGCATAGCCCCGGCGAGTCAGCTTGGTTAGTTAAGACACCACGCGGTAAACGACAGATTAAGGATGAGAGGCAATATCGTTTTCTCCCCTCCTCTTTCTCTTTTTTTTTCCCAAGCTGTCCTTATGTCACTGCTGCAAAGTACCATATGGACAAGGAGGGAGAGGACGGTTCGCGGAGAATGAAACATGGCTTCCGAATGCGACAGTCTTAATTGCTTTAATTGTTGTTTAAAATTGAGAGCCATGTAGGAGATCTTGAAATATGATAGAATAGATTATTGGTAATTATTAACTGCAGACAAAAAGAAAGGAAACCACTTTATCTCACTCAGCAAGAGAGAGAAAAATCTGTTCTGCCTGATGAGAACACATCAAGACAGCTGGTACTCTCATTTAGTCTACCTGCTTCACGACAACCATAATTCTTTATTTGTATGCAAACTAGATGCATGCAACGTTGAGCATACACACCAATTTCAGAGGTAAATGCCCATTCTAAGAGCCACCCATCCGGTAACTTGGGGTGGATTAAGCGATATGTTTCTATAAGAGAGCATGGCACACGCTGCAAGTGGCTCCTACAGCGATTCATCTTGATAAATCAAGGACGGTGGCTAGCTATGCTCCTTAGGATGAAAGGGGGGCCCCCTTACACACTCTGCGTACACACACTGCATACGCCGTGCCGCGGAGACGCAGGCCAAGTCTTGGAGGCCGCTGTTTGAAGGCGCGAAGGCTGTGTTTACATTCATTTACGGCAGCTGCCGTCTTAATCCCACACTGCCATTGCCAAGTGATGGAACACTTCAGACAAATTACCGAGGCCTGCAAAAGAAAACACAGTGAATGTGGGAAGAAAACAAGCACCATCTGAGATGTTTCTAGTGACAGATTTGCATTGCTTTTAACCGGAGTTCTAACAGCACAGTCGACAAATCTCTGCTCTACAGCAGGTGACAACAAGAGAGCATTTTAAAAAACACACACACACAACAGCAATGACTGCAACTTGCCTTTGTCAGATTAAATGCACTCTTAAGAGGAGGAGAGGGGTTTTTATACAGCAAACTGCCTTCTGTATTATGGAAAACAAAGAGAGCAGCCTGGTTTCTGGAGAGGGATTTAATTGTAAGTGCTGAATTCAAAGAGCCGATAAAGACACACAAATGGGCCAAACCCCACCTAGCCGAAAGCCCAAAACAGAGGGTGTGTGTGTGGTTGACTGGGTGGGGGTGAATGGAGGGTGCGTGGGGGGGTTCGGGATTCGGGGCCAACTCATTTTCACCGTTAAGAGCCAAAGCAACACAGCTAATCCGCATTGTCAAGCGGGGGCAAGCATGCAGACATGGATAAGACCACATCCTGAGCATCCGTGTCCCCAAGGCACGAGCACCCAGCTCTTGCTGGATGGGAAGTCATTTGTGAAGTCCTTTGCAACAGCCAGTCAAAGAGGTTAATTGAAAAATTCCTTAATGTCATTACAACAGAACTAGATTAACCCAGAGCTAATTCACTTTATTGTTCTGAAGAGAGGGGACTCGGCACTGAACTCCGGAGCAAACGTGAAGCTCGGAATCAGGGGTGAGGTGTTGTTTTTAAAGGACTATGCCAGTTTAATTAAGATAGGGAACATTATTCACTGCTCTGCATGGTTGGAAGGAGCAAAATGGTCGTGCTGTATAAATTTACCTCCGGTGCCTCTTAAATCTAGGTGGCTCTTATTTATGTAAACATTTCATAGCACTTTTTAACACTGCTGTTCAGCTCTCCGCGTGTCATACTTATTCTGCATGTGCAGTGACGTCACACATCCCCACTTCCCCCTCAAAAGCAATAACAAAACTAATAGTGGTGTATAGTTTGTTGGATCATCATCTGATGCCTTTGTTTGTTGGTGTTTCAAACTAATTATGATCCCTTCTTTTGAGATTTGTATTGATGGGATGGTAAGGCTCCTTTGTAACATGTTTTCAAGTGCATCAAACATTTTCAGGCCTAAGCACCTAAAAGCCTGGTGCTCTGATGCTCCTTGAACCACTTTCCCACTATTTGGGCCCACTGAATACTGGCATTATTATTTAATTTGAGCTGGACACCAAAACAAACATTTTACACTATTATTTAAGGGATAAGGGATAAAACTGGACTGTTTTGACTTGAATAACCTGTTGCCTGTAGAAACATGTTAATCACTGCAAAAATCTTCCTAAAAGCAGGGGTCTTCTCTTTGGTTTGACAGAGGCCTCAGGCTAAAAAAAAAACTCTGTTGTGGGAGTTGTATTTATTTCCTTTCCCTGTTTCCCTAATCAGGAGGTGTTACTGAAGAGGGCGGCTGATCTCGTCGAAGCCCTATACGGGATGCCCCACAATAATCAGGTACCTCAGAAATCCTCTCGGCGTGTCTGATTTACACATAAAGAATTTTTGATGACATAATTAAGGCCCATATTCAGGACTATATCTGAAGGAATATAGTGCCGCGAGTCAACTCAACAGCCATGTATTATGCATTAAAAAAACCCTTTGCCTTCTTTTTTTGCCTCTCAGGAGATCATTCTGAAGAGGGCAGCTGACATCGCAGAAGCCCTATACAGCGTTCCCCGCAACCACAACCAGATTCCCTCTCTCGCCAACACAGCCTCCCACGGCATGATGGGAGTCAACTCCTTCAGCAGCCAGCTAGCAGTCAACGTGTCAGAGTCACAAGGGAATGACCAAGGTGTGTGATTTGAGGGGGGGGGTTAGCTCCATAACTTAGAGGTGCTCAAAAGGGGGTTGCAGAAGGATTGCAGGTGCTTCTAAGAGGAATACCAAGGGACTTACAAGAATATGGCAAATATGTTCTCCCTTTTGTCGGCTTCAAATAAAAATAACTAATAAAAAATGGCCTAATATTTAAAAAGGGATTAATCCAGCCCGTGAGTCTTCTCTCATTTTTTTTTTAAGAAGGGGTATTATGTATTTCCCAGGCACATAGCAGCATTTCATAACACAATCTATTAATTATGTTACCTTCAGTTGTTATTTTAAAAAATCTTGTATATATCAAACACAGCTTAAAAGAAATCTGACTTTCTAATTTGACACCTTGAATTTGAGCCTCTGTCTCTTTAAGAAGCTCAAATTCTTTCCGACATGCCGCCTTCAGCACGTTATCACAACCGTGCCTTTCAGTTGTGCCGTTTATAACCATCCATATGAGCGTTGGACTGAGAAGTAGTTCATATGATGAGCTCAGCCATACCCAACTTCCACCAGATGTTTGCTAATTGTCGCTGCCGCCAGTGTGGTGGAGCGCAGTGGGGGGCGAGGGGTGCTCTGTGAGGAGGAAGCTCGGCTGGATACCGCGGCTCCAAGGAGGAGCTTTGTGTAAAATAGGCGGTGCTTTGTATGAGCGAGCATTTTAGGCAACCTGAATGGCTGGCAGGGGTGCATGAAAGAATCAAAGCAAAACTCCAGGTATGTTTTCGAACATGATATAAAGCTAAAAAGTAAATATATTTTACACAAAACCCCCCATTTGAATGTGGAACTTGCAGTATGTCTTGATAAAAAAAAAAAACAGAGATGATTTTTTTTCTGGCTGATTCTGTCTTTCATAAGGCTTTGACATGCCAATACTAATTTTAGCCAACTATAATTTTGCTGTACATTATGCAGATATGTAATATACACAGTATTGATATGATATACTATAGATAATGAACAGCATCCAAAATACTTGTCTAGTCTTGTGTCTAGATTAATAAGTATTTATACTCAGAACAGACGTGATGTCATGCCCTGTGTGCGCGAGACAGTGTCTGTAAAACTGCTTTACAGCTAATTTAAAACAAAGAAAATATTATGCAGCTTGCCTCTTAAGCTGTCTTCAGCATCTTATGTTAGCTATCAACAGGATTAGCCAGACTAGGATTATTAAAACAGCCATCTACGTGTGTATTCCCTGTGGAGAATGTGGCCGACATTTTCAACTCCAGCATGATCCATCAGATACAGAGGCTGAAAGCTTAAAAGGATAAAACACTTAAACTTTTCTGACCGTTCAGACTTCTTATTAGCTCCTGAAAGTCTTGCTCTGTCACAGCTTAAAGCTGCAGTAGATATCTTTCATTAAAAAAACAAAACATTATTATTTTTTTTTTACATATTCGTTAAAGTTGCCACTATGTCCTGACAATATAATTTGAGACCAATAGTCTGTGAAAAGAATCTTGTGGTCCTATTGGCATCTGCAGATTTATACCACTTCCTATCAGAAACAACCAGTCAGAGCTAGAAGGAGGGTCCTAGTGCTGTCAATCAAGCTTGTGTACACACTGCTCAATATTGGTGGTTTGCTGCAGCTTTGCTAATGGAGGGTAAACAACTTACTGCTACAGGAAGACCGATTATGTACCGCTGTTACTAGCAGGCACATTCACAACAGGCTATGCGTTGGGAAAGGAGCTGTATTTCGGCAGAGAGCAAGATTTACTGATTGGTCAATCAAGGAGGATCTAAGGCCCTCCTCCTGGCTCTGATTGGTTGCTTCTGATCAGGATTGGCTGTGCAAACAGCAGTAAAACCACAGATAGGAGGCAGAGGAGTTTGACCTTTTTCACTGATTATGTCTCATACTAAGCTGCCACAAAATAATAATTTTAATAAACTCACTGACCCTGAAAATGGACAGTTTTGGCTGTTCTTCACTCAGTAATAGCGTCCACATTTGGGAGTGCTGCTGTATGACCTGTTCACTGACATGGAAAAAAAATAAAATAAAATCTTTGAACAAGTCATCAGCAGATTTCTCAGTGCATCTTTTTTTAGCAACTTTGCATATTGAATGTTATGTAAATTCTGGAAAGATAATAGAAATGTGTTGTTTCAACTTCCTGCCTCTCTTATGCTACTCTACAGTTGTTGTATCGTTTACGTTCTTCATTCAGTAACAGAGGATTTGTCAGTGAAGCTTTGCTAGCGTCTCGATTAAAGAGCTATCTGATCATAGAAACATCACATTTTAATAGAGATCTTGACTGTACCAGTTCATTCCCACTGCCATTTACTTTCAATCACCGGACAATGCCTCAGAAAGAAAGGAATGAATGAATGTCCTTGTGCTTCTTCCATTTGTGTTATCCAGTTGGCTACAGCCGGAACACCAGCAGCGTGTCCCCCAGGGGCTACATCTCCAGCAGCACCCCACAGCAGTCGAGCTACAACACAGTCAGCAACAGCATGAACGGCTACGGCAATGCCGGCATGAACCTGGGTGTGCCAAGCTCCCCGGGGTTCCTCAACGGATCCTCTGCCAACTCCCCATATGGAAGTAAGTAGCATGCCACTCTTGCATGCTGTAGTAGCTCTAAGTTGCTGCTGATTTAATTCCAGCTCCTGCATTCATTCACACCTCTACGAGGCGTTTCTGAAAGGAAAGGGGTGTGTGTGTGGGGGGGATTGGGGGTGAGCGCATTGTTGATGGTGATAATATGTAAGGCTTCATTCACAAAAGCTTGTTTAGTTTCAGGACTTTAGAGAGCACACATGTGGCTTAGAATTGTGGAAATATTAGGTTTACTTCGCCACACGTCACCTGTATTTGTTCAGCCGGACCAAAATGTTGATCATAGGGGCCTGTGAGTACTGATCATGTGTCCCCCACCCCAACCCCTCCCTCCCTGACAGTAACTCTACCCCAGCCTTACCTTAACTGCCCTCTCCCCTCTCAAGCACTACTCACAGCACGTTCTCACTCTCGCCCTCCCTCCTTCCCTTGCCCTCCCTGTCGTCTCCGCAGTTAAACAAAAGAGCGCCTTCGCCCCTGTGGTCCGACCCCAGGCCTCCCCACCCCCCTCCTGCACCAGCGCCAACGGCAACGGACTGCAAGGTGAGCCCCCCTCACCCCCTCATCCCTTCCCTACGGACTACTGGTCAGATACCGCTGCTCAGGCCTCTGTCCGGTTTGGTGAGGGATTAATCATTACAAATATATGCATTTTGACAGGCCAATTTACACCTTTCAGTTCACATTCAGGCACACACTCTTGCAGAGAACATGCCCACACACACACACACACACACACACTCTCACACACACGCAAACAAGACAGCGCAGGTCTGAAAGTGACAGTGCAAATGTTTATGCATACATGCATCCTCGTTGCCCTTACATACAAATGATCCGCTCCGATGTCGCAGGACAAGACCTTCGGCGAATTGTTTTAGTAATTATGTTTATTAGGTTTTGTGCGTGTGTCATGACCAACATGATTGCATTGAAAACAAGCTTAGCTGTAGCGCGTGCCCCAAGATTAATAACATTGGGCTTAATGAAGTGGGAAATTAAAGTTCATCTTGCTACACGTTCATACTTATTAATACATGTGCAGAAATTAATGAGCAATGCCTTGCCATCATCTGCGCTGGCAAACTTAAAAGCATTTCAACCATGACTCTACAAATATACTGCGAGCAATACACTAATACATCATCCTAGCACTTCACTAGTTGCCTAATTGTTAAAACATGTGAAAATACTGAATATATAAACTCTTAGGGCGAGCTACAGTTGCTAATGATATCCAAAGCAGATGGTCTTAGCGCAATAACAGGGAGCTACTTTTGATCTTGCCTAATCTCTATTGGATAATGACGTGAAGGCAAAACTTGAGTCGATGATAAAGAGACGTGGGGGAGGAGGGAGGGCGAGATAAAGGAAGGAAGTCGCAGAAATGAATCCGAGTGGGAGAGACTGAGCCGAGTTGCGGCATTGTGGGAAATGACCGTGTTGTTGCTCCGTCGTCACCACAGCCGGCTCTCCTGGGAGTCTGGGCCACTGTTTGCCATTACCCCGACGGCAGGAGAAATATCACACATAGCAGGAGCGGCGTGCTGAGGGCTGAAATGTCAGAGCAGGAGGGAGGTTAGGGGAGCGTACGGCGACGAGGGCCGGCGGACACGGCAAACACTCGGCAGGCACATGCGCAAACAGGAATATTTAAAGGCTTACATCCACGCACTTGTGCAGCATCAGGTGGCTGGACTCTGAACAAGCACGCACTGACACGCACACTGCACACATGCATGCACTCATTTTTTTTTTCTTTCTTTCAGTTTTGATCAATTTTTAGAATAAATAAAGCCAAATCTGCTGTAACCAACTCAACTAATCTGCTCTCTTGTTCTTTCTTTATCCCCCCCCTCAGCCATGTCCGGCCTGGTTGTCCCTCCAATGTAAATGCACTTTTGTCATCTCGAGCACCAGTCGACACACTACCACTTCACAGGACACTCCCCCCTTGTTCCCAAGCACACTGCAAAATGCTGGTGTAATGTATAGTCAACTGCTCGTTCTGAAGAAAGAAAAAAAAAAGAGATTTCCCCCTCCGCCCCCTTTTCAATGACTTTCAGAACCTGCAGAAAAAAGGATTTAACAAGAACAATATTTTGTTGTTTTGTTTTGTTTTTTTTTTTTCCTGTGGGATTTTATTTTTCTTTACCCTCCCTAACCCACAATTTTATCAACCTTTGATGAGAAAAGGACGCGGGATGATGAAGGATTTATTTTGTATACCTGTCGAGTTGAGCTTCAGCCTCGGACAGCCACTCTCAGTACTGGAAGGGACTCTGTGGACTCACCATCTGGTTGTAAAGTAAAAACACTGATGTACAGTCCATTTGCCAACAAACTTGTTTGCCTCAGTTGTTTCTTTTTTTTTGTTTGTTTGTTTCAACTCTCTTTTAATAGATTCACAACAGTTGTGCGTCTTTATAATGTGACTTTTGTATTTTTATGTGTGAGAAAACTACACAGGGGCCAAGACAGTTTGAATTTCAACTGGAAAAATATATGAAATATATAATTTAGCAAAAGCCGATCATAAAAGTACAATGAATATGAAGTAAAAACAGGATTTCATTTTTTTTTTTTTTTTTTTTCGGGGGGGGGGGGTTATGGGGGGTGGGAGGGGGGGGGGGTG